CCAACTAAGGAGAGGTCTAGATTTTTTTTTGGCAGACAGCCATTTCAAAGTTAATTCATTACACAAAAGGCAATTTAAATAGTATGTTGTACTTGTAACGTTTATTTAACTCTATGTTATCTGTAGAGATAAAAAGGACAAACAAATGTAGTTATAATTTTTTATCCCTTCCGAAATATTTTCTAATTAAAAAAAACACATCCGTAGTTATTTAGGTCTGCATATTTATCATATCATAGAACAAAACAAACTTACGACTTAATGAAGATTCATGTTGATATAATTTTTATGACAGAAATATTTTCTAATTTAAAAAAACACATCCATGTTTATTTAGGTCTTGATGGGTCTCTTTATTTATCACAGAAGGAAACAAACCTCATTTTTTAATGAAGATTAATGTTGATATAATTTTTATGTTGTCAAAAATATTTTCTAATTAAAAAAAAAACAACAAAAAAACCCACATCCATATAGTATAAATTTGGTCTTGATGGGTCTGCATATTTATTGTACAACAAAACAAAAGCCAGGACTTAATGAAGATTCAGATGGAATGTAGCTAGGTATACAAGCAATTAATCATCCCGAGTACACATTGAGAATTTAGCTTTATCCATGCTAAATGTAGACAAACAAAAGGTAAAACTCAAAATTCGGGATACGTGACCTTTATGTGACTTATCAGTTACAGTACAAGTAATTTTGGCTATAATTGCTACTCTAGCTGTCAGATTGCTACTGTGCGTGGAAAACTTCTTGTTTACTAATAATTGATTATTTTTTCCTCATCCTGTCTGCTTTAACAGATAAGTAATGAACTATACGAATATCAGTATTATATATAAATATCACTCACTTTATAATCAAATTTCTATAGGTTTGAAAATAGCTAGAAAATCAATTAATTCTATTTATATCCATCTGACGGGGAAAACACAGCAGTCAGTCGTTAGAATGTTATGAATTATCAATATGTTGTAAATATTATTCTTTAATTTGATTCAAAATTTGTCAGTCTTTGATTCTCATTGATGGGATCTTTGTCAGTCTTTGATTCTCATTGATGGGATCAGATATATCAAATATATACAGTAAGAATTGTTGATGATAGTATTAATTTTTCAAAGAAAAGTATAACAGATAAATGGCATCAGGTTTTCTAAAAGATTAGGCATTAGTACTTTTATAATTCAAGAAGAAAAACCTTGGAAATAAGAATGTACTTTACTTGTTTTTAAAATTGTAGGCATCCATACTTTTTTAATTCAAGAGGATAATTATTTGAAAAAAGTACAAAGTACGGTACTTGTCTATAAGAAAAAAAATCATTTCCGAGTGTTACTCTGTTTAGAAACTTCATAATGGGTTAATGAAAGGAAGGAAGCATATGTAAATGATTCAGTCTCCACCTAAAATATGTAACAGGTTGAAACCAATTTATGTCCTTCATGATGGAATAAAAAAAAAAAGTCTCCACTTTAAGTTTCTTTTTGATATCAGAATCTGATTTTCATAATTCTAATTTGTTTTATTATTATTATGGTTAAGCCTTTTAATTAAAATTTCTCTGAAACTATGTTAAGTGTTTGTTGACACTGATAATTTGAATCATAACAACACTCTCTTTCAACAGTTCTATCAAAGGTTGGAGGAAGTCTGGCTACAAACATTAGATTTACAGGAAGTGTTGAGCCAAATTAGTTCCTTAATATGGCCGAACATTTCATGGTTATAAATTCAAAGGAGGAAGTCAAAGATAAAGTACTATGAAAACATTAATAACTCATGAATCTAAAGACCATATAAAAGTTACGAATGAACTCCAGTAAGCTTTTCCAACAGATGCTCAGATCAAAAGACTATCGGGACGAAAACACTAACCCGCATTCATAATTAACGCATTGGATGATTTTATGCATGCGTGAAAGATATTGAATCGACCATACATACGTGAAGCTACAAGATAATGAAAAGACATTAATTTTCCATCAACTTCATGTTCCAAAGAAACAAATATTGTCTGTTTTTGTCTCCAGAGGCGTGAAATCATTGGACTAGAATGGGAGAAGTTCAATCAATGATCAGTGCCAAATTCCAGGTAATTCTTTAACCAAATATGAAGTGTCGCTATCGATGGTAATTGTTACGCCCTTGTTTTTACAGCACAGCAATTACCGGTAGCCGTAATGTATTTAGAATACCAGTAACTAATCCCAATGTTTTAGGTTTGTTTATGAAGTAAACAACATTTCATGTTATTATAGGTTTTGAAGAGTAACAATGCGCAATTAGCATGTTTAATGTTCTCGATGGGCTTGAAAAAAGATCGGAATGATTTCTCTCTGTTTTAAGAATCTTGGGGTTAAGACTGTTGGGGCTTGGGTGGGGTCAAGTGGTCTAACACTCTTATTACTCTCTCTCTCTCTCTCTCTCTCGCTCTATTTATTGAAATGTTTGAGATGGATGTATGTAATATGATGTAATTTGCATTCACCACACCTATAATAACATTTTTATTACTTTCTATCTCTTAATTAGTCAACAATTTTACATTCCTTACAGAGCTGCATCTTTAATTATTGGATGAATAATCCTTTAGGGCAGACACCATTTAGTTATACAACTTCATTTCACACTTGGCTGATCATTTTGATCTTTTCAGTGCTTGTTTGAAATTGGAGAGCCAGTTTTCTTCTCATTTTTTGTTCGGTTTAGTTCCATTTGATGGTTTCCATCTTCTGCATCATCATCATCATCATAGATTTTTACAACTTTAAATTCTTTTTCAACTTTTGTGTTCACAATCAAATTTACAAAAGGTCCAGTTTTGAAGCAGGCAAATGTGTGTAGAACTTAATGGTGCAGTTAGGTCTCTTTCAAATGTTGGTGTTTAAAGGTGTGCCAAAGGAGATATACCTATTGTATTTTCAATAAGGTATAATTGTGTCCAGCAGGTGGTTTACCTATCAAGTTTTCATCTTTTTAAGGGGTTTTGACTTTAAAACTTTAACACCTGATAGGTAGAAAACAACCTGATCTCCAAATATTTTTGGAGTGACCTGACCTTGGGCTAAGCTATTAAACAAGTCACCGGTTGAGATTGTCTTGATATGAAATCTCAGTAGATATATAAATACTTACATACCTACATACAGTGATATTATATATCTTAAGTTGTGAGGTGGTTTAATACAAGATTATGGTTGGTTTGAATGTATTTATGGTGTGTTTCTATGTAGGACAGCATGAATAAGACTTTATATACAACTGGGTCAAGCTTTGTTTGTCCAAGTCCAATCTTTTATAGATGTTCATGTGAAGTAGTATGTGCAGAGTTATGTTTCCAGTGCAGATGCAGAACATTGAAATATATTTTTTGAATTTTGGAAATTAATTAATTAAGCAGATTTATTGTGTTAACAACATACTTTTACAGGTGCCTAATTTGACAGATGAAAGATTGTCATGGATGATCAAGTTTATTGACTATACACTGCATTTATACTATGTAGCCCAGATAGTGGGATAGTCTTCTTTTTTTAAAGTCGGCGATAACTTACATGTTTAAATCTGTGTTCCGCATTTATATATGCGTGTGATAATGGATATGGATAATTTTATCGTAAAGATATTTTGTCCTTGTTTTCGTTCAAAAACTAAGAAATATCATGTGAATGCCGTTATTGAAACAGAGCTGAAGAAACAGGTATAAGATATTTTCTGTAGTATTTTAGAGTGTATATTATTTGGGAGGCTATTGTATCACACCTTTCTTATTGTGTTTGAGTTGTGTTGATCGAATGATCAAAAGAATGTAGGGTTCACCTTGTCTGAAGTACTATACCACATATTTATCCTGGAAAATTCTTTAGTTGATGTGGGTTCTTTCATTTGATACAAAGATATTGTCATATAAAATGGTGTTTTGAGCAGATTTGTACATATTTCACTGCAGGTTTATTACCCTGTGCTTGCGTTCTCTTCTCTTGTTGTGGGAAGTTTTGTTTTCATTTGCACCAAAATCAACCGTTCATGACCAAAGCTTGCTGGAAACCACAGGGTTATTCTAGAACTTGTTGAAGTAAAATGAAGCTCCTGGAAGTCCACTTATTTGTGGTATCCAATGTTATAGGGTGTTAAATTCATACAATTCAAACGCTGCCATGGTATCTAAATTTATTGGCTTTGTGTCGAACCATACAAACTATTAACCTTAGCTAATGGACTGAAAAAATGTGAATATTACAGACTGTTATCTTTTTTAGAAGCTCTTGTACAAGAGGGTATTTTAGACCACATTGTTTATTGGGTTAGTTTGGAATTTCCTTGGCAGTGTTTTGGGTAATCAGTTTTACCTATGACTAGGAGCCATGGGTGGTTTTATCTGATGATACCAACACCTTATGTTATAAGACATCTGTTCTGCATTCTATTCAATTGCCGATAATTCGCGAACATCTTTGGGTTTTTTGCCTTTAGTTACATGTAAATAGTTTAGATTATAATGCTGTAATACTCTGAGCAACTGTTCCAATAATGGCGTTCTCAACAGGATTTTGGACCGATATTTATTGCATAGATCTAAACTTGGATCAGATTAATTACTGATATATTCTATTACGTAGATCTAAACTTGGGTCCTGGTTACTGATATATTCAATTACGTAGATCTAAACTTGGATCAGATTGCTGATATATTTTATTAGTAGATCTGAACTTGAATCCTGATTATATAGTCTGTTGTCCATCTGATAATTCACAATAAATTGATCTTTCTTATATAGGATTTGCATTGTCTGCAATATCACTGCTGTGGATGCAGATGTTAATCCACCTGGTAATACTTTTAGGAAAGCAGTAATAAAGTCATTCCTTTTGACAAACAGAAACACAAAAAAAAAATGGATCCTACCAAAGTCATAATTGAAACAAAATGGTGACCTTACTTATTTGAAAATATTTTTTAAATTGATTTTCATTTGCTTTTCTTTTTCCAGGATCAGTCTGAAGGATCTCAAAATGCCGAACAAATGGTTGGTCAACCGGTGGTTTCTCCAAAAGGAACTCTTCAAGTTACCAATGAAGAGCCAGAACCAGCTCAAGACATTGAAATGCCGCCACCTATGGAAATACAGGACCATTCTTTTAAAGCCAACCAAGATTCATCACAAGATGAGGTACGTTAAAATAAATGTATAGCAGGATCTGTCCACAACTCATTCAACAGGGAACATCAGTTAAGGCTAGGGCTAGGTTTATCCATTGGTCGACAGACTCAATGTAACAACATTTGGAATGGAGATTTGAATTATATTAACATTATATAGCTTATTTGAGTTCATTTTATGTTTCATTCAAAATTGAGTCATAAAGACATAAATTTGTAAAATCTGACTTGGTTACGGTACGTTAAGTTGATGCTATGTAGCGAAATTTTGAATGTACATTCTAATCATGTGCATGGCTCAATCGTGAAAATTTGAGTTTGTTTTATAGCTCATTAAAATTCAATCCACAAAGCTTTTAATTTATTCAGAATATCAGAATATCACAAGTAGGCCTATGCATAATTTAGTTTACAGTTCTGGAATAATAATTTTTATAACATGTTCATTATATAGCTCAATCGTGAAAAATTTGAATTCGTTTTACAATTCATTAAAAATTCAGTCCTCAAGACTTTAATTTATCAAATCTGATAATGTGATAAGATATCTCACAATTGATGTATTACTAATTCAATTTACAATTGTTAAAAAATAGAAATTATTTATACTACTAATGATACCACTCTCAAACAATTCGCATAATTTTCAAGATAATTTATGATTAATTGGCATGCAATAAGTTGAACTAGTTATTTCCTCTGTATGTGACATTTTTATGGCCTACCAAACATTTCTGACAGACATATTCATGATGGACTTAATGTGATAGCAATATACTATTATAGTCAGCCAACATACATTAGTTTACCCGTACATACCGTAGTTCTGGTATATATTTAATAACTTTGAAACAAGATTTTTTTATATTTAAACACACACTTGAATACTAACATATTAAATTTATCTTATCTAAACACTTAAGAGCAAGACTTATTAATACAAACAAAAGCTCTTTTTTGGGTGGGGGGGGGGGAATTCATGTTAAGCTACTTTTTTCTCTATAAATTCAATTATTTCATGTACGGTATTAAATTTGTAAATATTGTTGCTCTCTCTGTATCAAGATTTTTGACACTCAACAGATGATTCAATACTGATATATATATATACAGCCCAGGAAATATTAATTTGTAGTTTTACCTAACTGTCAAACACTGTGTTAAACTACTACCTGAGATTTACACATTGTGCAGTCATGTATTAAAAACATCAATAAAAGCACTAGATAAATGGTCTTTTTACTTAGCATTGATACATACTTAAAGGCTCAATACCACTCTTGTTGTAACTGAATAATATGTCCCAATCTTTATTCTGGTCAACAAATTGTACTATTTTACAATATTCCAATTAATTGATGATACAAATTTCATCTTAACACACCTAATTTAAAAAATTGGAAAAATTCAACTAAATGATTTGAAAAGCCTGATGTAAAGCTTTTCAAATGTTACTTGGATTTGAAAATATTTTTGAACCCTTTGGACAAGTAAAATAGGATTTAATGGATAATTTACACAACAGGTAGGACACTTACACATCTAGTACTTAGAATAAGGCTATTTTTTATTTTCTGGAGCTGTCAAGCCAGCAAGAGTGTTAAACATTGTAACATGTGTAGGCCTACCAGTATATAGTTTAATTTATAGTCCATGATCATGAATAATGTATAGCATCTCTATTACATTTATGCCCATGACATTTACATGCTTGTATGCCTCTAAATGTTTTAAATATTAACTTATTTTAGGCAACATCATTGAAAACTCAGATTGATAATGCAACCAGTTCTTTAGACCTGGCCACAGAAATAGAAAAAATAGTTAAACAAAGAATGGTAAGTTGGTTTGTTTTATACCCTGTGATTTGGAAGAAGCAGAGGACTATAAAAAGGGGTTTGTCTCTCGGTCCATGGAACACAATAACTCTGCTTCAGATTGAGATAGAATATTTTAAAATGGTGCCGATCAAGTTCATTAGATTAATCTCTTGATTGAGTTCGATGATATGCATTTTCCATTGAGACCAAGCACAGATAAGAAATTTGATTTTTTGAAACACAACAACTCTGATTCTAATTGAGTGAGAGTGATAAACTTCATTACATTTACTATCAATACCTTGAGTAAGTGTGATGACGAGCATTAATCTGCTCAGGTTATATAAGCAGGTTGGTAAACAATTGGATTGCTTGATGCGTTATAAAAAGATAAAATTAATGAGTGTGAGGAGACAGTAGACTGACTGTTGTCAGTTTAGATAATATCTTGGACATTCATAAAAAGTTGTCCTTTATTTCACTAATTCATAATACACCTTTCAAAATTTGAGTTCCGGTCTTCATTAGCCCAGTCGGAGTAGAACAATAGGATGTTATATCACATTTCATTTTAAAACATGAGTGGATATTTGAGTATGGTTAATAAAGGTCGAGTACAGTCATATGATAACAGATTTGGCATTTAGTACCAGACTTACTATAATACTTGACCTTTGGTATTAAATTTATATATGTTATTAAAATTTGATCGCTTGACACAGTCAATGGTAGGAAAACAAATTGTACATATATTCAGACTGGATAAAATGCTCTAAATAATATGAGATGGAGAAGCTATTGTTGGGAGGTCGGAAAAATCCACGCTGCGGGATAGACACCACTAGAGTAAGACGTGGGTAACTGTAAAACTAGTCCTAACCCTGACCTCACCAATTGGTGTCAATTTCTTCCCAGCCATCCTGAAAATAGACAACCAGTATTAGATTTGTTCCATCTGACAGCCTTGATTATCAAGATATGAACCATTGCACAGTCGGTGATGCTTATCATTATCAAGATACAAACTATTTCAATAGTAATGGTCTTCACTACTTTAAATGAATGGTAAAAAACATATCACATTATTGTTTATCAGTCACTATAGAATTAGATCTATTCACTTAGTGACACGGCAAAAAGGAAATATTGTCCTTTCAAAAGCTGTCCGCTATTAGAAGAAAGCCTTAATAATATAACAAAAATAAAGATTTGAATAGGGTGTTTACAATTTTTTTTTTTCTCACTCTTCATTGCCATTGCAACTCCACAGTTCATATTTCTTAAAACACTATATGATTTATATAGTCTACTGGTTTCTGGGAAACTCTAAGTTTATTTGTATATTTGCAGGATCCTCCATCTGAAAGTGGTAGTAAATTTGATCCTAGTCTAGGATTAGGAGCATCACTAGCTGATGATAAAGATGAAGAGGATGATAAATCTGATGGTAAAGATTCAGAAGATGATAAAGCCAAATACCTTAAAAAACGAGAGTAAGTTTCCTCCCAAGATTAATGCTTCCTCCGAGTGTAATGCTTCCTTCTTGGAATTGAGTAAAAATACTCAGTATGATTCCCAGAATATTAAATGTGCAGGATTTTTTGAGACACCAAGAAAAAAGAGTGCCCCCCCCCCCCAAATATGAAGTGTGGCTTAACATGGTAGACATGTTAATTAAGCATACATACAGTAAGTGGGTGTGGCTTACTATGGTAGATATGTTAATTAGGCAAACAGTAAGTGGGTGTGGCTTACTATGGTAAACATGTTAGACAAACAATGAGAAGGGGTGTGGCTTACTATAGTAACCTACCTTAGCTTCATTTGGGGTGGACTGGAAGGGGGATGTATTCAGATTTTTTGTGTATAATTGAAAGTTCTGTAAAAAGAATGGATTTAATGGAGGTCTTAAAGTCGTTCGTAACAAAAGAAATGGTTTGGGTGCTTATCATAGAAAAATTTGCCCTAGTAGTTTGAGAAGAAAAGTAGTTAAGATCTCAACTATGTTACAATAAATACAAACTGTTCAAAATCACTATATTATTTGGGTCATTTTGAACCTGTTGTTTGCTAAAAGTAACAAAACTACCTTATATTGGTTGATTTGATCACTGCCCTGAGCATTTGATTGTGATGATGAAGATAAAATATTGTGTACCTGTTGTTTGCTAAAAGTAACAAAACTACCTTATATTGGTTGATTAGATCACTGCCCTGAGCATTTGATTGTGATGATGAAGATAAAATATTGTGTAAATGATGTACCAATATGTCATCCATTTCTATAGTATTGACCCCAAGGGGGTTGAGTGGTCTAACATGCACTTTAGATCATGAGATCTGTCATTAAGACGAGTGGCATAATCCGATCCCAGACTTGTACGTGACAAGGAGCAGTCCAACCTGGAGGGTTTTCTCCAAGTCACCAGGTTTCCTCCCTCTGCTAAATCATAAAGACTTTTATGGGCAAACGAATTACTGAAATAAATTTGATACATGTTAGTCCCAAAATAACTTAAATGTACAGCGCAGTGGATGCTTACGACTGGCCCCAGATCCCTTCACTTGATTTGATTTTTGTTTATTTCTTGCAATGTGTCTGTATTCTGTCTTGTAATGTAGGTTTATCTTGTAGAATTTGGTTTGTGTGTAGTGCCGTCCCCCTGTAATACTATATTAGTTTATGATGTCCATGTAATAAAATGAATCTTTTATTATAGGTTTGTGATACAAGAATTAATAGATACAGAAAGAGATTATGTTAAAGATTTAGGTTTAGTTGTTGAGGTAAGATTTTTAAAAATCGGCTAATATAAATGTGTTTTAATGACTTAGTTCAAGGTTCTTTATAAAGTGATAATTTGCCAGTATTTCCCTCTTAAAAGTTTTAGCATATATTGTAACATATAAAACCAATCCTGTATTTACAACCTGTTCATTATTGTTTACTTAGTTTTCAAGATCAGGAGTGGTCACTTTTTTTCTAATGTATTAAGTAGACCTACTATGTTAATTAATTAAATATCTGGGGATGAGTATAAACAAATTGAAGAATTTTGTAAATATTGATGTTGGTTTTCAACTAATCTGACTCAGCTAAGAAACATCGGTATGGGGGTGGGGGGAGACATAACCTGTCCAGTACATAATAAAAATCCTGCACTGTTTATAAAATTATTGTGAATGACCTAGGGTGAAGATTGATTAATGTGCCTTGGAAGAGATCGTTAAATGGGGGGGGGGGGTCGTCGAATGGTTAAAGCGTGCAGATTTGATCATACAGTTTGTCATGGAGTCAAGTGGTGTGGTTTCGATTCCTGGCTTGTATGAGACAAGAAGTAGGGTTGCCTGTCCACTTTCCTCCCATTGCTAAGGACCATATGTTTTTCCTGAAATGACCTAGTCAGTGTTTCTTCTCTAGATCGTTATATAATTGTTTTCTGGAAATTTAACAATTGCCTATCATTCTAACCGAATATGGAAAAATTGCCAGGCGAGTAAACGAGCAGGTTTTTTTTGTTTCATTTCGTAAGGCAACAGCAACACTAGGACTTTGAACCCCATCTATTTTATTTTCATTTCATGCAACAGCTGCATATATCTAATTGAGAAAAACCATGGCGAAATAGAGTGTTATTTTAAGCAACCAGAAAAGGAGCAACTAAAATTCAGTAATTTGTTATTAATACTGACTTTGATGATAATCTTCTTGAAATTTCCAATGTTTCAAGTGTATGTTCTTTTCTCATCAAAGAAATAAATGATAAATGTGTTGATGTTTTCTAGGGTTATATGGGGTACATGAAGGAAAATGGTATGCCTGATGACATGGTAGGAAAAGATAAAATAGTTTTTGGAAATACTCATCAGATATATGATTGGCATAAAGAGTGAGTAGATTGATTATGATTGTGTGAAAACCGTCAGAGAGACAACAATAATGTCTTTGTGATAGATTTGGTTAGCATACCAGAATATCATGTATATTTAGATAGTGATGCACCACTCATAAACAAAACCCATAACAAAAACCCACGGGCGTCCAAGACACAGAATATACATGCAGACATTGCAAAACATAAATATCAAATATATATGTCAGGTCAAGCAAATTGATCCGGAGGTGGGGGCAGGGAGTGTCCTGTACCCTGTAGACAAACATATATATATCAGGTAAAGCAAATTGATCCAGGGGTGGTGGGGTCCTGTTGTAGGCATTCACTGCTCTGTGCAGTCATTAACCTATAGTGATAAAGGTTTGAGATGGAGCAGTGTAATCGACCCAGGTCATTGGTAGCCATGTGGTTTATTGCATGAATTGTTATCTATGAACCAATCCTTAGATTGATCTCTGGTTTGTATGTGATAAGACTGTAGGGTTATCTGGTACTCCCTGTTTTCACTTGTCAGTTTGTATGGGACATACTGTTGGGTCATCTGGTACTCCCTGTTTTCACACTTGTAAGAGGTTGGGTCTGCTGGGCTGATATGTAAAGTTTGGCTTAGCAGTTCAAATGTGATGAAAACATATGTTCCTTCTGTGCAACCCATGACGGTTGAAGTTCGATAAAAAGTAGGCAGAAAGAAGTCTGTTGTCGGGGCAAAATTCTCCTTCCTAACCTTGCACATGTGACTATAGCAAAACAAATACGGAAGTGGTGATGAAGTGTTAAAATCCCTGCATTGGCCGAGAAAGTTCATCCAGATTTTCCAGCGTGGTTCTCCCTTGTCAGTGATTCAGGACGGAGGGGCTGACAAGGAAAGCTGTCTAGTCGTTCGGATGGGACGAAAAACCGAGGTCCCGTGTACACATTGGCGTGCACTGTGCACGTAAAAGATCCCTTGACAGTTGGTATTCGATATAAGAGTAGGCCGTAGTGCCACTGTCCGGGCAAAATTTCCCTCATAGCACACTGTATGGCGTATGCCCGTCTTCATTAGCCCAGTTCGCAGCAAAACAGTAGGACGTTAAACCCCATTTCATTTCATTTCATTTTCATGACCACCATAAACCCATCATATTGAATAAGGAAGTGAATTTTCATTTAGCTTGTCTCTTTAATATGTTGTTTTTCCCAACAAGGCATGTTCACTGGAAAGGTGTTGAAATAAGAGCACAGGTTGTGTGAGGTGTGATTACAGTTGTTGTGAACATGTTACTGACTGTTGTCTGATTGATTGTGACATATCAGTATGATTAAAACATGGAGAACATTTCTATTTATAGATATCATCAGACATTAACACTTATGTCTTAATGTATATTCTACTCACATTTCACAAACTACTCATTATTTATACAAACTTAATAATATTTATATAATGGGTTTTTTATGGGTAAACTCATTTAAACTTTAAAGAAGCAAAACCTCTAAGTCTATATAATCCATTAATGTTTTATAAGTACAGAAATAAGATTTAAACTGTTTATCTTGAAATTCTTGAGAAATAAATGTGTTAGTAGGGATAGGTGGTCGAGTGGTCTATCGTCTATGCTTTAGATCATAAGGTCTGCAATTGAACTGAGTCAAATTTGATCCCAAGCTTGTAGGTGCCTGCCCAACCTCATAAATTTCTTCCCCCTGCTAAAGACCCAAAGGTAATTATTGAAATAAAATCTATCATATGTTAGTCACAGAATACCCTAGTTTTTGTCATTGCTCTTTAAACTACAATTAGTTGAGATATTGAAATGATTTTGAATTTGTTTTTCAGAACATTTATGGCTGAAATAGAAAAATCTAGTGAGGAACCAGAAAGAATAGGTTCTTTATTTGTAAGATATGTAAGTAATTTTACTTTTTCTAGAACACTTGATTATAACTCATTACAGTATGTGATTACAGTATGTGAATTATTTTTGTTAGTCCTTGGAAAGTAGACTTTCCAAATGGGGAAAACATATCCTAAACAAAACTAGAACAATTATGTGTGACACAGGCATAACGATAAGAGAATATTTATCGAAACGTTGTGTTTTGTGTATAATAAACCAGTGATTGTTGTCCCATATAACTGTTCTAGTTTGGTATAGGAGGGCTGGCTGAAAAGTTCTAAGCTTGTCTGTGAAAGACCTGTATGGTTCAACAATATTTATGTAACCTGATATTGCTGTAGGAAGGATTCTTATTTAAAAGATTTTAGTGAGTCTGTGAAAGATCTGCATGTTTCAACAATATTTATGTAACCTGATATTGCTGTAGGAAGGATACTTCAAGACAATAAATAAAATAACATTGCTGTATAAAAGAGTCAAAATAAATCCAACAATTTCTTGTCCATAATATATCATAATTAATGTATTGGATGTTAAAACCATCTGTGTCATGGTCTCATAAATACACCAACTATATATACCAAGACATTATTTGTTATTGTTGTGTTTTATTTTTCAGGAAAGAAGGTTATATATGTATGTAAAATATTGTGAAAATAAGCCAAAATCTGAATATGTGGTAGCTGAATATATAGATACTTATTTTGAGGTGGGTATAATAAATAAATAATGGCTTTCTCTACCAAATAATATTATTGATGGTTTTATGTTATAGTATTCATTTATGTTCTCAATGCAGTGTTATTCTTCGGAGGGGAATCACGTGGCTAAGTGGGTAAGATGCTGGCTCGCTAGCCTGGAGGTCAGGTGTTCGATCCCTGCATTGGCCGAGAAAGTTCATCCAGATTTTCCGGCGTGGTTCCCCCTTGTCAGTGATGCAGGACGAAGAGCCTGACAAGGACAGCTGTCTAGTCATTCGGATGGGACGGAAAACCAAGGTCCCGTGTACACATTGGCGTGCATGTAAAAGATCCCTTGACAGTTGGAATTCGATATAAGAGTAGGTCGTAGTGCCGCTGTCCGGGCAAAATTTCCCTCATAGCACACTGTATGGTGTATGCCCGTCTTCATTAGCCCAGTTCGGAGCAGAACAGTAGGACGTTAAACCCCATTTCATTTCAGTTATTCTTCGGTGGGTGGGATGTTTGAGTGATCTAATTCATTTTAGATCATAAGGTCTGTCTTTGCATGGTGCCTGCCCGACCTTGTGGTGTTCTCCAGGTCCTCCGATTTCCTAATGCTGATAAGGATCCCTGTACAAAACGAATTATTGAAATAAAATTGTTCCATTTTACCTGGTATTTTTTGTAAAAATTGGTACATTGTTAAGATGTTTTGTTTTATTTTGTAGGAAATCCGACAAAAATTAGGTCATCGTTTAACATTATCAGATCTGCTGATTAAACCTGTACAAAGAATTATGAAATATCAGTTATTATTAAAGGTGAGTCTTTATCATCAGTAATTTCAGGTCTATGCCAGGTTCCCACTGTCGTGCGATGCGTTACAAATATGGTTGTCCCTATTAAGTCTACGTGTAGATACATTTGGATATGTTTCGATACGATCAACATGACTGCTACAACTGACTTCAATATATGATAAGACCTGATGGGTTCACCATGATTACTGCACCATGATTTCAATCGTGATACTTGGAACCTTGCATTATTGGCAGATTTTCAACAGAGATGGGTTTACATTCTTCCAAAATGTACCTTTTTTTTTCTGGATGTTTTTTAACTGTACCGTTTCTTTTTGTGTGTATTACGTCCTATATCGTAGAAATAAGGTTTAGGAAAAAAAGGTACAAAAAATAAATAGGTGTAGATTGGAAGAAGATAAAAATCATTGGTCATTTGATTATCTGTACAGAAATGGACAATTTCTTCCTAACTGGTTTCAGAATTTAGTCATCATGTACATTTTATTCCTGGATAAAAAATAGCATGAAACATAGTATATATATATATATATATACCCCTGTTCAACATTGAAGAAAATATATATAATACATGTTTCTGCTATGAACAATATTTAAGTTAAATTGTTTGTTTGTGCTTTTAGGATATATTAAAATATACAGAAAGAGCTGGTTTAGATGTAACTGATCTAAAGAAAGCTCAACGGGTTATGCGTGTTGTGCCAAAAGCTGCTAATGATATGATGCAAGTAGGAAGGTTACAAGGTTTTGATGTAAGTAAACTGAGTGATAAACAAACTATCACGGATTTCAGATTTGATTAACGCATGCACATTGGATTATAAGATCTTCATTGAGTCAAGTGGCGGTGGTTTCAATTCGCCGCTTGTACGTGACAAGGGGTAGGGTCGCCTGTCCAACTTGATGGGTTTTCTCCGGTTTTCTCCCACTGCTAGAGACCCCTATGTGCAAGCAAATTAAAAATGAAATAAAATTGAACCTTATGTTGGTCCCCAAATGACCAAGTTTGTGTTTTGTGGATGTTAAGCCTCATTTCTCTTTCTCTCTTTCTCATTCCTGTTGATAAAATAAATCTGGGTGATCGAGTGTTGTAATACGTGGACTTTAGATCATAAAATCATTCTTTTAGTCTTTAGATCCCAAACTTGTATATGACCTGTCCTGTCAAACATCATGGGTTATCGCCATATTTCTCTTTCTTAGCGGGCTGCTAAGTGGGTAAGACCCTGGCTCGCTAGCCTGGAGGTCGGGTGTTCGATTCCTGCATTGGCCGAGAAAGTTCATCCAGATTTTCCGGCGTGGTTCCCTCTTGTCAGTGATGCAGGACAAGGACAGCTGCCTAGTCCTTAGGATGATACGAAAAACCGAGGTCCCGTGTATACATTGGAATGCACGTAAAAGATCCCTTGGAATTTGGAATTTCCCTCATAGGACACTGTATGTCATATTGCCCGTCTTCATTAGCATAGGGCTGAAAGTTTTACAGAAATATAAAGCATCTATTTATATCTACAGTTTCGGTCACATCTTTATAATTCTTTTTAAAACATTTCTCTTCAGGGTAAAATAACTGCTCAAGGGAAATTACTACTTCAGGTAAGTTATGTCAATACTTCACTATATCTCTATTTTCATGATGGTTACATTTTCAACCTATTATGATTTGGCTATTTTTAACCAAAATATGCATTTACTTATCAAATTCAAAGACATTTCTCTTCTCAAAATGAGTATTTGTTGAAATCACTGTACATAGAGGTTTATTACAAGCTCTCGAAGTCTAGTTCTATCCAAGAATAGCCCTCAAATGAACCATTGACTTGGAAACAACTTATATTTCACAAAATTCCATTAATAGCATTTAACAAGAATATTCTTTGTTCATAAGCCTTGTACCAATTCTTGAATTTTGATATCTATTTTTGACTTTCCTGTAAAAGCCATAACAATTCCTTGAAATTTAGGTTCTATTCTTGATTTTCCTGTAAAGCCCAAAAGAATTCCTTGAGAAAATCTATAGAAAATCCTTGAATTTTGAGGTCTAAAAGTTGTGTATCAATCGAACCCCAGTATGTATGATTATCTAACGTTTCTCTATATTTGTTTTCAGGATACGTTATTAGTAGCCGAAGTTACACCTACTAGTCAACAAAAGTTTAAAGAAAGACGTGTTTTCTTGTTCGAACAAATCATCATATTTAGTGAAATGACTGAAAAACGAAAAGGCGATTTTTCTAATGCAAATTATGTGTTCAAAAATAGTGTTAAGGTGAGAAAACGTGTGCTTGATAATGTAGATAAAGTTCATCCATTTATTTGGTTTCAAGTGCTTGCACTTACGTTTTATCATTCGGCATAAAAGTATCAGCTCCAAATTGAATTTTGTAATGGAACTGTTTTGTTATCTGGATGTTTACAGTTTCTTGGTTAACCCTTTAACACTTGGTATATCTAACTGGAAGTTTTGTATGATCTAAGGAGCCCTACATGGGGTTGTCCATGGGCTATAGGGTTAATCCAGGTAAACTTAAAGATGGAATATTTTTACAACACACAACACAGATGGTAATATGTAACTATAATGTAGTCCACGAGCTAAAGGGTTAATCCAGATAAACATAAAGACCAGATATTACAACACAGATGATTTAACTATAATGTTGTTATATTTTTTGGGGCCCAAAACAATTTATCTTCCCACTTTATTTGTAGGGAAATTATATTTTCAGTTAAAAAATTATGTTTTTGTTGAGCAACTTAAAAACAATGCAAAATCAAAATGACTGTTATGAATATAATTTAATGCAAAATTATGCAAGATTTAGGGAAAGAGTTGGTCTTCCATCAAGTAACATTAGTCTGAGTGAAGTTATGAGTGTTTGAAGTTTTGAGAAGAAATAGCCATAAATACTCTCAGTTGATTATGGGCTTGTTATGAATAAATGTCTAAATAATAACTAATATAACATTTGAAGTCAGAAAATCTAATGGTAGTCCTTCTACTTTCATTTTCTCTACAGGTTAATAAAATGTCAATGACTAACTCTGTTGATAATGATCCTCTGCGGTTTATGCTGATTGATCGAACCCCAGGTTCCGATTTAAAGTTTTTAATACAAGCCATTTCAGAAGAAAATAAAGAAACATGGGTCAAAGAAATTCGAAGTATACTAGATATGCAGGGTGATTTTCTCAGAGGTGAGATGTTTGTCTAGATAGAATTGTTTAATCCCTGCGTTGGCCCAGAAAATTCTTCAGGATTTTCGGGCGTGGTTCCTACTTGTCAGTGGTGTAGGACCGATAGCCTGGCAAAGGACAACGTATAGTCGTTTGAATAGGACAAAAAAACGTCTGCACATTGGCGTGCACATTAAGATCCCTTGGCAGTTGGAATTCGATGAAAGAGTAGGCCATAGCGCCACTGTCTGGACAAAATTTGTTTCAGTAAATCATATAGTTTATTTAGTATGAAATCCGATTGATAGTGATTACCTCGCCTTTTGGTTGAGTCACAAAAATTGGCACAGTCTGTATTGGCTTGAAATTATAAAAGACTTGAGCTGCTCGGACTAAATTACCACTTAAAAGAATTAGGCAGGTTTTAGTAAAGAGCAAAATGTTCAAATGGGAATTGTTATATCTTTCAGCCCTGCAGTCACCCATAGCTTATCAAAAAGAATTGACCAAAGAACTGTAAGTATTATGTTATTTATGGCTTGTTCTATCTTTTTTTGACTGATGTTTGGTCCGGACATTTAAAATCAAAAACACTCAAATAAATAGCTATTCTTTGGATGTTGATGAAAGTGTCAAGCGACCAGTATGATAATATCTATAAGGCATCCATGATTTATCATATATAAATCTACACTTTTATCTAGTTATTGCATGTTAAGGTCTATTGCATGAAATTTTATAGCATTTACATTAGTGAGATCAAAAGAAATGAAAATCAAAGTTAATTACAAAATTTTGGACCAGAAACTGATCCCCAGAAACTACTCGTCTTGTTCTTCTTGCGGGCGATGCTCTTTAAAAAATGGTTCAGGCACCGTCAATGCAACTACAGTCGACATGAAGCTTGGCATGCTTGTTCATTGGACAATAATTGTGCATCGATAGACGGATGTCGATTTTTCACATGACATCACAATTCGAAGATGGCGGCAATGACGTATTGCTCGCTTCCTGGTTCATATTGCACTAAGCCAAACATTATAGCTTATGAACTCAGAATTTCCTTAATGCAATCTCTCGTAATTTTATTTACCCATATATATTATATACCTTTTGCTTTTGATTTTCTGCTTTCAAATCTTGTTTTTGTTGCAACTTTTTTTTCAAATTCCAAAAGAGCCTAATTCCCTCAAGTTCGTCCCCTGTCGATACTTTGGTCATAGATCAATAAATATTATTACTTCTAATAGTTCATGAAGAAAGAACTCTTCCCTTACAGATTCATTATATGACTTCATTTGGATAAATTATTTTGTGAAGTCTGTCAAAAACATTTGGTACTATTGGTACTACTTCAAAATTCAGTGCATTAGAATGCTGAAATCCTTTGACTATCTGAAAACAGAAATGGATTTATTTTGAAATAAGATTTTATTTATATCCAGTATTTATGCATGTGTTTATTCTGATTTCATTTGTTCTCTAACATTTAGTTATCCTTATCCTTAGCAATTGTTTACCATTTTTTGCAGCTCTGCACCTGAGTTTGGCAGTTTGCCTAGAGACTCTCAATTACGTAAAACACAGTCCCATCCTCAAACTAAAGGAGGGGCACCAGGGCCATCACCTCTTGCCGCCCAGGCAAAGTCCAAGCGTTCACAAGATACAAAAATTCAGGAACGGTGTAAATCAGTTCCAAATCCTCTTCCTGAAACTGTTGATGAGCAAGCTGAAGATCAAACATCTTGTCCAAACTCACCAACAGATACATCGAAAGACCTCAACAATGTCAAGCAGCTCAAAGCAGGATGCCAAAAGGCCACGCCTCCATCCTCCACCTCATCTGATGGACTAACTTCATGCTCAGATTCTCCAAAACCTAGAAAGACCATTTTTGAAGGATTCCGTAACACATTAAGAAAATCAAAAAATGATGTAACGGGCACAAAATCTCCTGAAGTGGCTTATGCAAATACAATGCCCGATTTACTGCAAGGAAATGACGTTGGATTAATATCAGGTGCAACATCTATTAGCAGATCTCAAACTTCAGATGACTCCTCCCAACACGATGTAGCTTCGGTAAGTGAGAAGCATTTGAATAGATGATGATCATCAGCTATATGATCGGATGGATTATTACCCTTTCTGTATTGTATGATGTGCGCTGGATTATAAGATTATAAACCAGTAGATTTCATTGACTGCTGCATGCAGCCACTTTTGCCATTTCCAATGATAATAATATAGATTCTTTTCTGAAACCGCCTGGGTGCTCTGACAACCACGTGCAGCTTGTCTGAGAAACTAGCTGATTTGCTCAGTGTTTGTGTGAGATTTATGATGACGTAAAAATTTAATTTACATATCAGATAATTCAATTAAAACGCAAAACATTTATCAATCAATAAAAAAAGTGATTTTGTGGTGGCAAAGAAATGCATGTTTCCAGGGAGAATAGGGAAATGTGGGGCATTCTTTGCTAGTTGTTTGGTCAAGTGATGTGTTTTTAAAAGACCTTTTTTGACATTTATTTAAGTGATATACTGCATGCTGGAGTTGACCAATCAGTGAATCTGACATAAAATGCTATGTCATGTGACTTGAGTTTAGTTTGGCAATAGCTACCAAATATGATTGGCTCTTGTTCAGTTTTATTTTTAGTTTCTGACTCTGGATTATTATGAGGAGAAATATGCATTATGTTTTGTTGAAAACTCTCTACGATACTTTCTTTTCAACAGATTTTTAACTAGACAGTGCATGTGCAAGAAGTTTGCTTGTAAACATTTTAACAGGAGTTGACCTTTCATATTTATTTTTATTTCATGTATATTGTAAGACTTTTAACGTAGAAATATTAAATTATTATGAAATAGTAAGTCTACGGCAGTTGTTACTGTAGTGGCTGTTATTTCTATCTTCAAAAGAAAGTGTTCAGACATTTTATACATACAGGCATTCAACACAACTGACTTAACATTTATTTGAAAAATAAATCATGTACGAGGTACATTAATTACTAATGCTGATGCTCTGCCCAGAGTACTGGTAATAATGATGAGATACTCAGAAGAAATAACAAAGTGAATTAAAAGTACACTAATAACATGTCTCACTTCCAGCTCTGAGCCTAAACTCTGACAATAATCTTTAGCTTCCATTTCATCATACATTTTAAATCATTCTCGAACAAAATTCTATATCAGAAAAAAAAGCACTTCATCATTTTTTTTTAAATTTGATCATTTACCATTCATTATTTAATTAGAAAGTCACACAGAAATATCAATATCTATGTCGTCTGTGTGACTATTCAAGGGATTTGGTCAATAATTTTAGAAATTGACCAATCACATCATATATCATTTAAATTTAGAAACTGACCAATCACATCAAATCTTGTTTAATTTTAGAAATTTGCCAACCACATCCAATCTTGTTTAATTTTAGAAATTTACCAACCACATCAAACCTTATTTAATTTTAGAAATTTACCAATCACACCAAACCGTATTTAATTTTAGAAATTTACCAACCACATCAAATCTTTTTGAATTTTAGAAATTTACCAATCACATCAAACCTTATTTAATTTTCGAAATTTACCAATCACATCAAATCGTTAATTTTCGAAATTTACTAACCACATCAAATCTTGTTTAATTTTATAAATTTACCAACCACATAAGATAATTTTAGAAGTTTATTTAATTTTTTATATGCAGTTAATCACACATCTTGTTTTATTTTGGATGAATGGTACTAAAATAGTTTTCAGGTTTAACTTGCACTCTAATCATCACTATTTAATGTCGGTTGGATTTATTAGATGGTTTAATTTGCATTCAATACTTTCCAAAAGCCCTTTTAATAAAAAAAAACAAAACATAATTTGAAAGGAGTAAAGCAAGACCATATTTATGTGACTTTTAAAAAGACTGAAAATTCAATCTATATTAGTATGGATTTCTTCAACTTGACAATATAGAATAAATTATATGTACATCTTCAACTACATTATTTTCGTCAATGGAGAAATAACCAGAATTGGTTAAATTGACACATGAATTACAAAACCAGAGGTTAATAAGTCAAAATGACCAGAGTTCCTCCCATACAAACTATTATTGAGTGGTTTTAATGATTTTTATAAACTGTGTTTATAATTTAGAGACTGTTTGAATCTTGCATAATTAGTTTTTATTTGAGCATAGATGCAGACTTGACAAACAAATGTTGCTGAATGACCAAAGAAATTCTTCTCTTGAAAAATAGGATCGACATGAATATGTACTGTACATATATTAGTAGATGGCTCTTTTGACTTTCTTCTAAATCTGGAAAATATTATCAGTTTGTATGATTCTTGAAGCATAATATAGATGAACATTTTTAGAAACGGTGTAGATTTAATATCAAAGTATCGTCATATTTCTATTCTTTTTAAAACATTATTTCATGTTTTCTTAGCATTATTTCTTTATTGAATGAAGGTTGAAAGCACCTAATAATCTAATGTATTAACAGAAAGAATACTGAAATATTTATATCGTTCTTAATCAGACAATTTTTATCTATCTGCTATTTATTTATTTAGAAGTTGTTAATATTCCGTTACGATTCCTTCTTGGCATTATGGTGATCAGATGCTAACGTCTCCACCGCTGTATTGTGAATGTGGGTGATCGACAATACAATTCGGATCAGATGTGGTTAGTACATGTTAAATCCCATTGAGAAAATTCCATTTAAAAATGATCACGTATATGTTACTGGCTTTCAATAAGAACTAAAAGTCCAATATGGAATCGTCCCAAGTTGGGAATTAAAAATCTTGAATATTCCTGAGATTATAAGGTTTTACGTTAAATAAAGCAGATAGATAAAAGTTCAAAGAAGATATTTTATTTCATTGGTCTATAATAATTTGTATATGAAATTATCTGCATCATCATAATATATATATATATGTACCGTATGTCCTTGTATGTATAAAAACTAGTCAACTTATTGAAACAAATTTGAATGACAATAAACTTTCTGAAGATATATCAAGTATTTATTTTATCATCTTATGTCTTGTGCATAATTTTATACACTGTGGCCTTGTTATTAAGATCATTTCTCCACTCCCAAATTTTATTGTAACTTGATAAACTTGTTCCCCTAACAAAAAAGAGAAGCTTTTTAAACCTTTTCAGAAAGATCAACAGAGTATTCTGTGGTTTGAATGAGTTTATGTATAATATGCATGAATTAACACATTTTACCACTAGACTGCACTTAATGATTTGTAAAATAATAAAATAACAGTGCTGTATTTATTTAAAAAAAAAAATACTGGTTTAAAAATTTTGAAGCCATTGGGAATAATTTAATCTTGAGATACATGTCAATATTTGATTTGTGTATTGAAACTAATTTTCTAAATTTTCTCAACTGTAAAATAAATCTACCAGTACATGTATAATCTAAGAACATTTAATATCCAGTTGATATTCATTGAGAAATGTCACCTGCCTACCCTCATGGGTTTTCTCTAGGTCTACCCTCTATTAAAGACCATTATGCGCAAGTAAATTATTGAAATGAAATTGTAACACATATTAGTATCAATCAAAATGGCCTAGTTTGTGTTGAGTGGACATTAAACAATATCTCTCTCTCTCTCTCTCTCTCTCTCTCTCTCTCTGGGGGGTTGGATGGCTGAATGGTTAGCGTGCGCGCGCTGTATCATAAAGTCTGTCATTGAGTCAACTGGCGTGGTTTCAAATCCCCGGTTGTACGTGGCAAGGAGTAGGGTCGCCTGTCCAACCTCGTGGGTTTTCTCCGGGTCCTCCGGTTTCCTCCCACTGCTAAAGACCCCTACGCGCAAGCGAATTATTGAAATAAAATTAAACCGTATGTTAGTCCCGAAATGACCTAGTTTGTGTCGAGTGGACATTAAACAATCTCTCTCTCTCTCTCTCTCTCTCTCTCTCTCTTTTGTCTCATCTATGACCTTACACCCCACCCCCCTCCAATTTCATTATTTGAAGGGTTAATTCAGATTTAAAAAGCTCTTACCCACTAATGGAGGATAATTGTTATGGAGAGATCTTTTAAATACTTCTGATTAAAAAGTATTATAAATTTCCCTTGCAAGTGTTGTGTTGTTTAAGTGAGCATTTCCCCGCCATATGAATTAATGCATACTGTTTCTCACTTCAATTACCAAGATTTATCTGCATCTTAAAAACTGGTAAAACAGCAAGTTTTAAAATTCTTGCAAAATGAAATGAAATGGGGTTTAACGTCCTACTGTTCTGCTCAAACCGGATTAATGAAGACGGATATATTCCATTCAGTGTGCTCTTGGAGAAATATTGCCCAACTGAAGTCAAAGTTCTTTTACGGGGCACACCAGCATGTACATGGGATTGCTGTTTTTCATCCCATCTGAACAATTAGGCATTGTACCTCGGAAGGACCTTCCTCCTGCACCACTGACAAGTGGAAACCATGACGGAAAAGCCTGAGAGATTTTCTTGGCTATCACTAGGATCGAACCCAGGACGTCTTGGTTAGAAAACCAGTGCCTTACCCACTGAGCCACCGTGGCTCGCAAAATTTTTAGGATGACTGACTATAATGTCATGGAATGGATTCTATTCCTGATTCTATAGATTTATTTATATGATTTTCATCATTCCCAATATGTGTTATATACATAACCAGAATGGCCTTAACCTTTAAAGAACTTGGTCAGGAGGTGTCAGTCCCAAAATGACCTAATAAAGACCCTACTTGAAGTGAACTTAAACTCTCTCTATCTCTCTTGATATGGAAATGCTTTATACCTTCTAGCAAAGGGCTTATGAGAACATTTCAGCCAATAGGATTAAAACCTCCCATCTCTTTACCCCACCCTGCTCCCCTTTCTTATTTTAACAAGGTTACAGTGTATTTTGATATAAGTAGTAGTAGATAGGTAAATAGTTTAGTTGTAGATTTAGATATAGTGCATGTTGTCATGGTTACAGGCTGGAGGTAACAAAGTGAAAAATTCAATACATACAAATAAGCATGATTAATTAGATGAATGAACATATTGTTAGATGAAGTTTGCAGCTAGTGTTTGCCAGAATTTTATCTTCAAATCTATTAGCAAAAGTTAATGGATTATTTAATAATACTCTTTGTTTAAGAACAGCTCAAGTTGAGGTCGAGGCATTGCCTTGAGATGGAATATTACACTCACAGTGCCCATAGCAATGCCATAAGTTTGTGTTTTGGTTTTTAAAACAGCCCAAAGAGGAGTTTACCGTGTATTTAGGAGTAATTTCGCAAAGAAAAAATGACCCCAGATCACAAATAATATCAATGGGGAAAATTGATGATAAAACCTAGAGTAATTAAAAGAGACTTGGTCCATCCGATTCAGTCCAACTAGTGTTATACAAATGAGTCACCAATGCGGATCATCCTTAATCCATGTTAATAAAATGTACCCTCAAGTTGATTATTTAACACTGTGGCACACAAACTGTGTTGGGGGGATTGGGTCTTCTAGTGGTTTAACGCTGGCATCTGGAATCATAAGGTCTGTCATTAAGTCAAGTGGCGTGGTTTTGTACATGACGAGGAGTAGGGTGACCTGTCCAACTTTGTGGGTTTTGTCCAGGTCCTGCGGTTTCCTCCCACTGTTAAAGACCCCTACACACAAGTGAATTTTTGAAATAAAATTGAACCATATGTTTGTCCCAAAATGACCTAGTTAGTTTCAAGTGGACGTTAAACCAAATTTCTCTCTCTCCCTCAAAACATTTTATTCGTCGGAAAACCACCCCATGCCGCGAGAATCTTATTTTTTATCAGCCGTGTTTATCACGTGACTTGATTGAGGAAGAATCCATTATCAGCTTGTATTGGTTGATAAGTCGCTGTCCATTATCAAAGCCTAAGTAAATTCCTGGATTATCCTCTGCCAACAGATCAACACGTAAGAAGCACTCCTTACGTCACTCAAAGAATACCTTCGCAATATTATTCTAGTAATATTGGGTGTCTCTACTTCCCATAAATATACCAAAATTACTACGCTTTTATTGAAAATAACTACCCAATAAATACTTGCGTAAGAATATATCTCCTATTAAGAAAATAAAATCAAAATATCCATGATAGATAATCTTCAGACTTTGATTAAATCCGATTAAAAGGAGGCCAATCAAAATATTTGAAACAAAATCTAATATTTTCTGGGAACTGCTAAAGATCCCAATGTGCAAGCGAATTAGTGAAATAAAATTGTACCATATGTTACACCCAAAATCACCTGGTCTGTGTTAGTGGACAGTCATTTATTATTTATTGGGCAATGGGTCTGTGTATCTTACCTGACTGGTTAACTTATTTTTGGAATTTAGAAATGAACTGAAATGCCCCAATATTAGAAGTTAAAAGTCATATAAACAGTGGTTAGTTTTATTAAAGCCACTTATCATCATTTGCATTTATATGACAATATATTATTGACATTAAAGACTGCATCATTTTAGCACTGTAGAATCCCTTGCAGACTATAATATTGTGGAAGTTGTATGACTCGCTAATAGAAATGACAGTCCAAAAATGGTTCAATTCCTTTCAATATTTATAAAGGTAGGACAAATTGAAAATTCCACTGATCAATGCTGCTCCATATGTAAAGAGACAGCTGCCATTCTTATTTGCTGTGAATCAAATTAGATCCAATTGATTACAAGTTGGGAGATTATCTAGCCTTGTAATTTTGATTTGTTTTCTTAATTAAATGTTAAGTAATCATTATTAGCAGGGATTCAGCTGTGAAAATTTTGATATTTTCCAAAAAATGCAAATTATGCATCATTACTTAACCAACAAATGATATTTTTAATTTCAAAATTATAAATAAGTACTTTATAATGCTTTTTGGACCAATGCCCATCCTGAAAACCCCCCTAAATCTATGGTGCTAATCTTTTTAGAGTGAATTTATAATAATGTAAAGATCTGATCAAACAACAGCACATTCTCAGTTAAGCCTGATGAGTTGAAATTAGAACGAAGCTAGTTGCTTACTAAGAGGAATCTGAGAAGATTGTCTGCCACTCAACAAATTCCTTGAACAAATCACAATCTTGTAATTTTCAAATGGTGCAATTGAAAAGTGTAATCTCTCTTAATAGATTGAGTGTATCTAAATTACTTCCTGTATTGTTAATGGCATACCTCTATCGTAATATCTCTTCATTATTCCCAACTTGAACTCGCTGTAAACTTCGTTTAACAAAGGATATTTATTACAAGTTATTCTCATTGACATGCTTTAAAGGAACTCAACAATCTTGTTCAAGGGTCGGTAAGGGGTGTGTGTGTTGGGTGGTCGAGTGGGCTAAAACTCAAGCTTTATATCATTTAGATCATAAGGTCTGTCATTGAGTCAAGTTGCGTGGTTTTGATACCAAGCTTTTGAATCACAAGCCAACGTGTAGGGTCACCTGTCCAATCTTGTGGATTTTCTATGTAACCGCATGTTTCCCCAGATTGCAAAAGACTCCTTTGCGCAAGCAAATTATTGAAATAAAATTGTATTATATGTTAGTCCCGAAATAACCCTGGTGTGCAAAAAAATGATTGAAATAGTTCCAAAATGCCTTGATTATTTTCAAGCAGACTTTAAACCCCATTTGCCTCTCTTTTTTTTTCTTTTTATTAGTATTCTATTCCTTTGCAAAATATAGACGACCTTGAATAAGACAGTTGAGTACCTTTAACATATCCAGTTCACAAGTACTTTATGTGTTATGCATCACAGAAGCATTACAGTAGCAATTAAAATCTTTATGGAAAACATATCGGCTCATTATAGGAAATGCATCTTGCTGAGTCCTAGTTGGGGGTTAAATAATTGAAACTATTCAGGCCTGGAAATATTGATTTTAATTCTATCTGACAAAATATCAGTCACTGTTGTCCCTCCCGGACATGTTTCAAAAATATCAATCCCCCCCCCCCCCCCCCAAAAGGCAAATTTGTACCAAACACAATGACAGGCACCAATATACTTGTGCCTGGCAAAGGCCTAAATTTGTGCCAGACTATGTCTATGCCTTATTTCCAGGCTTCAAACTATTCAACAATTTAGTAATACTTGTTGTTATATTTATTCCTCAGAATTGCTAGATCTTGTAAGGATTTATAATATAATACTGTTTTGTTTTCCATAAAGATTAATGGGGAAATGTACTTAAATAAGCATCATTCAAGTTGAACCAGAATTGCAGATTGCCAAAACCAATTAATTTTTGTGAGCAATTAGAGCTAACTCAGCCTGCTAACTCATTTAAAATTTGATTACCCTTAGTTTGTATGGTATGTGAAGGAAACGGGATAATCCTAAATTTTCCCATTCAAGGGTAATAAGATAAAATCAATCAGAAACATAATATCACCAGAAATATCCACAAAACTACAGATATTTGCTTCTTTAACATGGTGACATGACAGTCAATGGAGCCTACTTTAACATGGTGTCATGACAGTCAATGGAGCCTACTTTAACATTGTGTCATGACAGTCAATGGAGTCTACTTTAACATTGTGTCATGACAGTCAATGGAGTCTAACTGATTCAAAAAATATAGAACAGTACATGAATACAGCACACATTGCAAACTTTATAGTATTGGGTGGATATGAACTTTCAGGATTTTCAAAGCCTGGTACCATTTATCATTTGGATGGAATGACAAATCAAGGTACACATCAAGCAGCGGGGATGGGTGGTTGAGTGGTCTAGCAAGTGCTCTTTACATAGTAAGGTCTGACATTGAGTCTTGAGTTGTTATTTGATCGCAAGCTTGTACATGGCAAGGAGTTGGCTTGCCTGCCTAATCTCCTGAGTTGTCACTGAGGCCTCCAGTTTCCTCCCACTGCTACAGAAAAAAAAAAGTAATGGACTTACAGTGGCAAGTTGGTTACATTTGATGAACAAATTGGTTTTGTGAGATGGACAACTAATAGTTCACTTCCCTCACCTGGGGAAAGCAGGGGACTTTTCAAATGGGTTTGTCCTGTCTTTCCGTCATGCCTTTAGCAACACAATGAATCTGCTTCTAATTGAGGTAGATTTACTTCATTACCAGTAAGGGTGAGTGGTCGACTGGTTTTACTCATGCATTTAGATAAAAGTGACTGGGATTGAGTGAAATGCTGTGGTTTCTATCCCAAACTTGTATGTGACAAGAAGTAGGTTCACTTGCCCAACGTGATTGGTTTTCCCCAGGTCCTATGGTTTCCACGGGGGATTTCCACTGGTGGATCAAGATTCTACTTTACATTTACCTGTTAAAGCCAATTTTCCAGATTATATTTGGGACAGCTGAGTTGAGGGGAACAAGTGGTCTGACATGTATGCTTTAGATCATAAGGTCTGTCATTGATGTGATTTCGATCCCAAGCTTGTACGTGACAAAGATCTAGGGTCACCTGCCCAACCTCGTGAGTTTTCACCGGGTCCTCCACTTCCATCTCAGTGCACGCAATGGAATTATTGAAACAAAATTGTACCATATGTTATTCCCAAAATGACCTTGTTTATGGTGAGTGGATGTTAAACCTCATTCTCTCTATCCCTCTATCTGGTACAAGTTTTTGTATTTAAAACATGTAATTATTTTAAAGGTACAACATTTAGACGGATGTATAACTCAAGGTCGCATCATTTGCGATTATTTAGCAGTTAAAGAAGATGAAATATCTGTGAATCGGGGAGAAATTGTTCAAATCCTCGGAACCAACCAATATAACATGTTTTTAGTTCATCGACCAGCCAATAATCACTGTCCTGCAGCAGAAGGCTGGATACCAGGCCAAGTGTTAGGACCAAAGGAGGGAGATGGCAGTCTAAAGTAAATAAATTATAAGATACTACATTATTACAGATCAAGTTAAAGAGCTGCAAGCTGCGATGGGCTTATGTGACCATTGGTGACATTGTGTTCATTGCCAGCTTCCAAGGATGTTCTAACTTTGCTGGCAATAATTCTTGTGCAAGGCTTGTAACAAACCGTTCAAAACTTCTCCATTCCTCAGAAATAGACTTCAGGAACCTTATTCATGGAAATTTAAACTAAAATATTTTAAGATGGCAGCCTTTTTATTGTCTTCCTTTCCAAAAGTAAAATTGGGTCTCCGAAATTCTTCTTTGTGTTTACATGTGGAAATCAGACATAAAGGCATCTTAAAGTTAAAAAATTTTTAAACTGGTATATTCTTTATTATTGAGGAATTGTGAATTTTTGGAAAGTTGCGCAGAGTTTTACAAAAAAGAAAACCTTTGCCGGCGCAATGCACAGATTCAAAGACTGTTGAGATTATTTAACTTCCAGGGTTAGGGATGGGAGCAGCAGTTTGAATGACCCAGATGACTTTGGAGGGCATTTTTCAACAACTGATGCTGCACAATTATAGTATAAAACAATAATGAGCAACAATAAGTTGTCAACATTGTTTAATTATTGGTACTTACTTGCTTTATAGCAAGGCCCTAGTAGTATACAATATGCCAAAGGGTTTCACAAGGGTTGTATTTCAAACGGCTTTCTTAACAATACATGAACAAAGGCATGAACATTGTTTTTGTCACTTCCTATGTCACCAGGAGAAGTTTGAAGTTATTTAATTTATTATAGAAATTAGGATAAATATTTAATTTTTTTATGAAATAGGGTAAATATTTAATTTGTTACATGAAATAGGGTAAATATTTAATTTGTTATATGAAATAGGGTAAATGTTTAATTTGTTATCAGATATAGGAGTAAATATTTAATCGGTTACATTAAAAAGTGTAAATTTTTAATGTGTTATATGAAAAAGGTAAACATTTAATTTTTTATCAGAAATAAGGGTTATTTAATTTGTTATATGAAATAGTGTAAATATTTAATTTGTTACATGAAATAGGGTAAATATTTAATATGGAATAGGGTAAATATATGATGTGTTACATAAAATATTTAATTTGTTATAGGAATTAGGATAAATATTTAATTTGTATATGGAATAGGGTAAATATATGATGTGTTATATAAAATATTTAATTTGTTATAGGAATTAGGATAAATATTTAATTTGTATATGGAATAGGGTAAATATATGATGTGTTATATAAAATATTTAATTTGTTATAGGAATTAGGATAAATATTTAATTTGTTATATGAATAGGGTAAATATTTAATTTGTTTTATGAAATAGAGTAAATATTTAATTTGTTACATGAAATAGGGTAAATATTTAATTACTGTTGTAATTTTTCTCTGGTGAAAAATATTGTAGACTAATACTTACCATTATTATCCATGGACGCCTGTTGTTCTCATGTTGCCAAGAACGTTGTTTCAAATACACCCACTGAGTAGCAATGATGAGATCCATGTAGATTTCTGCTTTAAAGCAAATCACAATATTGTGACAAACCAATTTATTTTGACGAAACGTGTGTTACTGTCTTAATTATTTTGACGTGATATTAGAAATTCCCACTATACATGAAAAATGCTTATTAGATAGTATGCTTTTTTAAAACCCTTCAGAAAATTATCCTGGCAGATGTTTAAATTAAAGAAACCTAGTTTTAAAGGTGAAAAGGGTCATGGTGATGGTATGAATAGTTTAGAGAGACGGACCAAGTCACTTGGCAGAGATGGAAAATCAAAAGTCAAGGTAAGAAAATAAACTTATTATAGAAATTTCGAACATTCTTTCGGGCCCACTTTTCGTTCAGAAGGATGAAAATCTCTTGTCCACCTGTTTACACAATGACATGCATATAGAAGAACCCTTGGCAATTGGCATTTGATGAAGAGTTGGCAGAAAAAAAAATGCTACAGTCCAGGCAAAAGAATAAACATGTGTTGTTTACATTACTGGGGCAAAGAATATTATTGAATTTGAGTAATTTCTTTTTAATTATTAAGTTGTTTCCCTTTGTAAAATCTTGTGAACGTTTTAACAACAGAAGTTGTCATCAGATTATTGAATTTCAATAATTTCTGTTAATTTTGTTTTGACCTTTTTTTGTTAATTAGAATATATATATATGCTCCCATTACCTACCAATCCATACTAGCCCGGTTGGTATCAATCCTATCTGTACTGCTTGCACAACTTGGCTGTTGTGGGCATGTGTATCTTTTGATGCACGTAGATGATCTGATTATTAGCCCTTCTACATCTATTAAATAGGAAGTGAGGGTTGTTCAGTATGTAAGTCTTTAGCTGACCAACCAGTGGATGATCCTAGGTTCAATCCAAGTGTTGGCTGAGAAAGTTCCTGGATTTTCCAGTGTGATTTCCCCTATGAAAGCTGCAGGACGGAAGAGCTTGGCTTAGAACAGTAGTAAAGAGCTTACACGTAAAAGAAGTTGGAATAAGAGTAGGTCATAGCGCCACTGTCTGGACAAATTTCCCTCATAGCACACTGGTGTAAGCTTGTCTTCATTAGTGAGGATGGAGCAGAAAAATAGGATGTTAAACCCCATTTCATTTCTTTATTTAAATAGATGGTTGGTCCAGATGTATCATATGAAATGCCACCCGTTATTCATCATCCATTAACCAGTGTTACAGTACAGAGTGGTGACACAGCCATGTTATCATGTAAAATATGTGGTCGACCACGACCGAATATAGCGTGGAGATTCCAAGATGTTACACCTATTGCCATTGGTCCTCGAACTACTTTAATGTATAATGAAGATGGTGTTGCTACACTTCAGGTAAATTCTATCTTTGTGGTGTAAAACATGGTTTGATTTGGTATGCAGTTTATCTTAAAGAGCGTATAATTCTAACTCAATATCATCCCTAACAGTCACCATTAAAAACACAAATTAGAATATTGATGAATTTCAATCAATATTGAGGTTGTTATCTTACCATGAAACTATAGCATCCTAATATTCAATATTTAAGACACAGTGGGGGATCATGTGGCTAAGTGGGTAAGACGCTAGCTCGCTAGCCTGGAGGTCGGGTGTTCGATCCCTGCATTGGCCGAGAAAGTTCATCCAGATTTTCCGGCGTGGTTCTCCCTTGTCAGTGATGCAGGACGGAGGGGCTGACAAGGAAAGCTGTCTAGTCGTTCGGATGGGACGAAAAACCGAGGTCCCGTGTACACATTGGCGTGCACGTAAAAGATCCCTTGGCAGTTGGAATTCGATATAAGAGTAGGCCGTAGTGCCGCTGTCCGGGCAAAATTTCCCTCATAGCACACTGTATGGCGTATGCCCGTCTTCATTAGCCCAGCTTAGGAGCAGAACAGTAGGACGTTAAACTCCATTTCATTTCAATTCATTTAAGACACAGTGAACATTTTAAAATCAGTTCCAGATGTTAGGTTCACTATGGTCTCAAGCGCCATTTGTAATGAATAAAGCAAAACATATCCCACAAGTCAGTACGGAAGTAATTACTAATTACATAAAGATAAAAGATTGACATTCCATTTGGACTGCTTACATAACTTTAATTAGAATTAACAAAATTCATGTTTTGTATTTGTATTTTGTAACGGTTGCTGATAGTGGAGAATATTCATGTTTTATATTTGTATTTTGTAGTTATCTCAAGTAAAGGTGGCTGATAGTGGAGAATATTCATATTTTATATTTGTATTTTGTAGTTATCTCAAGTAACGGTGGCTGATAGTGGAGAATATTCATGTTTTGCTAGTAGTGAAATAGGTTCAGTTGTTACTAGAGCTACTCTTGTAGTCTTAGGTAAGTTTCTTGACTAGTGGAGGCAACATCTGAATTAATAATGCTTAGAATCTTCTGGGCTTATTAGAATATTAGATAGTTATCTTGTGCCATTAAAGGTACGACCTTATCGATATCCCTTGTTCTGTTATTCATGTTGTTCTAGATCAGGGTAGCCACGGTGGCTCAGTAAGTAAGACACTGGCTCGCTAAACAGTAGGTCTCTGGTTTGATTCAGGTCTTAACTGAGAAAGTACCGTTGGATTTCTAAGAATGGTTTCTTGATGCCCTGTGTACACATCGGCTTTCATGTAAAAGAACCATGACAGTTGGAATTAAAAATAAAAGAAGACCGTAGCACCACTGTCCGGGCATATACAAGACCTCATTAACATATTAATGTAGAAAAGTTACCCCATTTCATTTGTTTTAACTGTTGATTTATGTTAATTTAGATCGTCCTGGAGAGCCAGGTAAACCTGTGATAAGAAACCAAGTTGGTACAGCAGTACATCTAGAATGGTGTCCACCCCTAGCAGCTCAATGTGGTCAAATACAAGGTTACACAGTTGAGTTCAGAGAAGTTGGTGAGTTATAAATACAGGCTTAATCTTGGGAGGTACCAAAAATTCAGCAGGAAAAGAATGATGATTACAAAATTATTGTAGCAACTCAATATTTTAGGCAATATTTTATTTCTCACTTTTCTTGTTTGAATAGGAAAATTTTGTTACAAAAGGGCTGATAAGTTGTAGTTGGTGCTGGGCACATTTTGAGGTCATATTGTCAGTCATGTCAAACCCCAGTTTTCAGTAAGTCAACTTCGATGATCTGTAGCCAGTCGAGTGGTCTGACATGTGTGGTTTAGATAATAAACATACAAGATGGGTCTGATTGAGAACAGAGGACGGAGGGCCTGACAAGACAGCTGTCTAGTCGTTTGGATGTTACGAAAAACCGAGGTCCCGTGTACACATTGGCATGCAGATTAAAGATCCCTTGACAGTTGGAATTCGGTAGAAGAGTAGGCCGTAGTGCCGCTGTCCGGGCCAAATTTCCCTCATAGCAAAATGTATGGCGTATGCCTGTCTTCATTAGCCCAGTTCGGAGCAGAACAGTAGGACGTTAAATCCCATTTCATTTTCATTTCATTTTGATTGAGAAGAGACACAAAGCTGATTGACCAACATTTTAATTCTTACATCGATTATTTTAATTGAAAACACTAAGTATACTTCGAGATGTTTGAGAAGTTTTTATTATCCGCTTACATTTTTATTTCCGTCTTCATTAGCCCAGTATATAGGAGCAGAACAGTAAGACGTTAAACCCCATTTCATTTTTCATTTACATTTTTATTTAATGACTATGTGTGTATGAAAGATGTAAGTCTTGTTAAAGAGAGAGAGAAAGAAATGGGGTTTAATGTCCACTTGACACAAACTAGGTCATTTCGGGACTAACATATGGTCTATTTTTATTTTTAAAGTAGATAGTTGTACTGCATGTGTATTGAATGGATCATAATGTCTGTCACTGAGTTAAGTGGGGTGGCTTCTATAACCATCTTGTATATGACAAATGTCCGCCGAATCTCATGGGTTTTCTCACGGTTCTCTGGTTTCCCTCCACTTCTAAAAACCCCACGCACCTGCCCAACCTCATGAGTTTTCACTGGGTTCTGTGGTTTCCCTACAAGTAAGTTAATTATTGAAATTAAATTGTACCATGTTAGTCCCAAAATGACCTAGTTTATGTAGCGTGGATGTTAGCCTAAACCTTTCTCTCTGTGATATGAGATATTATACTATTTGTTTTCAGGGAATCATGCATGGCAACTGGCTATACCCTACGTCCCAAATACCTCACAAGTTATAGGTAACCTGGAACCTGGTGTTATGTATGAGTTCCGTGTCAGTGCCAATAATGCTGTTGGTATTAGCGAACCAAGTCCTACCTCAGATAGTGTAACCATTCCCACAGAACATGGTAAGCCATCTTTCTAATTGTTTCAGATATTTCCCATTTATTAGGTGTACAATTTGTCAGTGTATGTATTAGATCTCTTTCCTGAAAACTAAATGTTACTGTCCCGCTACAAATTGTCATTACACGACATCGTAAATAAACATCAAGATACTATCAGTTGAAAAAGGTTCAATTTCAGTCAGTATTTACAAAGATATGAAAATTTTTGCAACATTCAACATCCTCTCCTTGTCAAATCTTTTAATGGGGGTCTTTTTAATCCAATTGAATTCCAAGCCTGGGGATTATCTACTACTAAAGGTATTTTCATAATTAAATGTCGAATAATCATTTTGAGTACATTTTTGGGTGGATGAATCCCAAAGATGCAAATGACGTTCAACGTTATTAAGAATATTGTCCAGTTATTTATTTAATTTGATTATCCATGTATTATGTATGTTTATAGAATTATGTGAGAGAGAAGAAAGTACAGGAGCAATATGGAAAGCAACATTTGAAAATGATTTTATGGATGTTGGTGAGATAGGAAGGTAAAGTTTTGTTTATAAAATGTACATGCCCTGTTCCCAGTAGTTGTGGGGAGCCATGGTGGCTATCTGAGTAAGGCGCAAGCTCACTAACCAGGAGGATCAGGTTTTGATTCCGTAGTTGATTGAAAAAGTCCCCCAGGATTTTCCAGCCTGGTTTACCCTAGTCAGTGGTGCAGGATAGAAGGCGGCAAGGTACAGGGCCTAGTCGTACAGAGATGGGACAAAAAACAGAGGTTGTGTATATACGGGGCATGCACATAACAGAACCCTTGACAGATGCAGTTAATTGCTGTATGGGGAAAAATCTCCCTCATAGCAGACTCCATGGCATATGCCTGTTGTCATTAGCTTGGTTCATTTCATACATTCTTTTATTTCCACTTGTTGCATAAAGCGTCTCTAGGGTTGAAAGTGTTATGTAGTCATTCAGATAGTCCATAAAACATTGATCCACTTGTGTGCACGTAAAGTAACTTTTAACGCTTGGAATCTGATGAAGAGCTCATGTGGGCAAAATTCTACAGATGTGACCGTAGAAATAAATAACTGGATGTTATGTCTATCATTGTAAATAACAGAAGTAGAGTGTCGACACGATTGACTAAATTATATTAGCTACGTATTTCATTTTGTTTTGTTTTTCAGGGGTAGATTTTCTGTTGTAAGAAAATGTATACAGAAATGTTCTGGGCAAGAAATGGCTGCTAAATGTATCACACGGGAACTCATGAGTAAACAAGCAACAGAGACAGAATTTAATACGTTACAAAGTTTACAGCATCCAGCATTAATACAAGTCTTTGATCTGTACGAAGCTAAACATAATCTCATAATTATTATGCAAAAGTAAGTTTAGCTTTTATAATGATCTAAACAAACTGCCTTTGAACTTTATACATATCAGTGAGAATTTCCAATAAAGTTACATATTCTTTTCATGAACATCAAGTTTGTTTATATAATTTTTATACTCAATGAAAGAAAGGTCAATCCTCTGCTGGTGTTTGACTGATAAATTGTCGGTGGACGGATGATCATGCATAGAACATGGAGTGTGTACATTATGCATGGGAGTAATGATCACTGAATTTGCATGAGGAAGAGGACACCCCCCCCCCCCCCCCCCCCCCCTGGATGCACAAAAACCCCAACATTTATATCATGTGGGTGGTCCAGGCCCGGCATTGTATTTCCTTCACTTAGCCTATGAGATTATGGTTATAGTACCATTTCAGTCATTTTTGTGGCAGTGTTTGTATTCCTTTCTTCTCCAATTGGTGTGATGGCTAAATCCATGTGACCCCTTGGACGTACCTTCCATGTAAAAAAGATATATATTTTATTTTGTATTTTCAGTTTACCACATGGGCGTTTATTAGAATATATATGTTCTAAACCACATTTTGATGAGATCCAAGCTGCTGAATATATCAGACAATTATTAGAAGTATTACATTATTTACATAATTGTCGGATTGCCCATCTAGATGTTAAGGTAAATATTGCTACTTTTAATACTGATGTCTAACTTGTATAATGGAATAACTTCACCCAAATAACCTCTAATTTATACAAGAAACGAACATCGAGGTGTATTCTAACAGTCTCAGATCAGGTGCCTTAAATTAACATATTTTAATAAAACAGTCATTTTCATTGGCTATGAGGATTTTAACCTTCAACCAATGAAAAGGCAGCATCATTAAGGTTTTTTGGTTTAAGTTTTCATTAACAGGGGCCCAGTTGTATAAAATTAGACATGTTTAAAATTTGTCTAAAGGCACAACGGTTCACATTGCTGTCTTTACATCACGTGTGCAGTGTTCATATCATCTCTGTATAATGCTGGAGCTTTTCAGCTTATCAGCTTGTATTCATTGAGAGAAAACAAGGGATGTAGCTAAAAGGGAGGAAGAACGTCTCACTTCCTCCGGGTCCTCTGGTTCCTCCCACTGTTAAAGACCCCTACGCGCAAGTGAATTATTGAAATAAAATTGAACCAGATGTTAGTCCTAAAATGACCAAGCTTGTTTTGATTGGACGTTAAATCCTATTTCTCTCCCTTCAGAGTTAGGTGTTAATAGCCTTCTAAAAGTCATTCCACAGTATTGATCTGTGAGCTAACTTAATCAATTATAAATGGGATATCAATCACTTATAAATAAATATTAGATATTGTTAAAACTGGTCATTAATATTTAACATGTGTTATTTTACAGCCAGAAAATTTATTAATCGAAGTAGGTGCCATGTCTACATGTGTTAAATTAATAGATTTTGGTGATGCACGACATATCTATAATAGTTATTATATACATCCTATGGTAGGAAACCCAGAATTCATGGCTCCAGAAATAGTTAGTTCCACACCAGTTGGTTTACTAACTGATATCTGGTATGTATTCTTTATAGTGAATTATTAGTGGTGTGTGTGTGGTATTATTGAGACAGATACGGTTGATATTATCAATGTTTTGTTGCCTGGGGAGCCACTGTGGCTAAGTGGGAAACATGCTGGATAGTTTGGAGGTGGCGGGTTCTCTCCCGGTGTTGGCCGAGAAAGTTCATCAAGATTTTTCGGCGTGGTTTCGCCATGTCAGTGGTGCAGAACGGAGGACCTGACAAGGACAGCTGTTTAGTCGTTTGGATGGTATGAAAGGATCTATTGGCAAAATTTCCCTCATAGCTAACAGTATGGCAGAATATGCCTGTCTTCATTATCCCAGTCGGAGCAGAACAGTAGGACGTTAAACCCCATTTCATTTCTTTTTATTTTCGTTTTGCTGCCTGTGGTATTATTGAGACAAATGTTATTGGTATTAGCATCTTTCAAATATATATTGAATCTGTGTGTACAGTGTTGCCCATCACTGCTATTCGATATCTTATAACACACATTGTCAACAATCAGAAATAAGACATAAAAAGTATAATTGAGAATCTGCAAGGAATTATGTTTCTGAGAGTATAAAGCTTTAATTTTATGTAAAACTTCTTAAATAATCATAGATTCTTGAATAATACTGTATATTTGTATTTATAGGAGTGCTTGTATAATACTGTATGTTTGTATTTACAGGAGTGCTTGTATAATACTGTATGTTTGTATTTATAGGAGTGAATGTATAGTACTGTATGTTTGTATTTATAGGAGTGCTTGTATAATACTGGATATTTATAGGAGTGCTTGTATAATACTGTATGTTTGTATTTATAGGAGTGCTGGTATAATACTGTATGTTTGTATTGATAGGAGTGCTGGTATAATACTGTATGTTTGTATTTATAGGAGTGCTGGTATAATACTGTATGTTTGTATTTATAGGAGTGCTGGTATAATACTGTATGTTTTATTAAGTGGTGTTTCACCTTTTCTTGATGAAAGCCAGGAAGAAACCTGCTCAAATATTGTTCGTAATGATTACTGTTTTCCTGATGAGTATTTTGCTGGTATATCTTCCGATGCCAAGGACCTCATGCGTCTCATTTTAGTGGATGAGTTAAGGTAAGGAATATCATGTATTAATAAAAAAAAAATCAAATCTTTGTTATAGAGCAGGATGGACTACCAGGCATAGAACAGTGGTCTAGTTGTTTGGAAGGAGTGAAAAAAACACTTTGAAAGAATTGGAAATAAGGGTAGGGCGTAGCTGTCTGGGCAAAATTTCGCTCATAGAACACTGTATGGTGTATGCCTGTCTTCATTAGCCCAGTCTGTGCAGTATGACGTTGAACCTCATTTCATTAAGTTGTATCTATTTAATAACATGTTAGTTATACTATTAGTTATATTAATTAAGTTATACATATTTTTCATTTCAGTAAACGGCCCACAGCTCAGACATGTTTAGAAAGTGCCTGGATACGCAAAGCTCTTGTTCCTAGAAGTTCTCCATTACGGCCTAAGCCAATCCTTACATCACGATTAGTTGATTTTATGGAACGGCGAAAACATCAGGTAATAACTTTTTACATTTGGGGGTTTCATTGTCTGAATGGTATAACGCATGATCAAGTCACATGGTTCTGATCTCAAGCTTACACCTTACAGTTGGTTCAACGGTCAAACATATTGCAGATGTAATAGAGCAAGAAATGGGGTTGTGACCTCCACTGGGCACATACAAGGTCATTTTGGGACTAACATATGGTTCAATTTTATTTCAATAATTTGATTGCGCATAGGTGTTTTTAACAGTGGGAGGAAATCGGAGGACCCAGAAAAAACCCTTGAGAAAAAAAGACAAGTGAACCGTACTCCTTGTAACATACTTGACTTAATGACTGGCCTTATGGTCTAAAGCACAGATGTTAAACCATTTGGCAACCCAATCCCAAAATGTAATTTTTAAAAAAAAGCTTGGTATTTTGCAAGATCCCTTGGACAGTTGGAACTACTGCTGTCGAACTTCTTCTCCAAACACTTCACAAGTAACCAATTGATAGTTGAAAAGTAAAGTGTTGACCCAGTTGTTACCATTAAACTCCAATAAATTGCGTTGGGGATAGCGGGGACATGGCTGTGAATTAAGGAGCAACCTTCAGGACTATTTAAGCTCGACAGAAAGCCTTTCGGATGGGACCCCAAAAAAGCCCCATGTACAAATATATATATTTTGGGAATTGCATGTGGGGAAATTAGCCTCATTTTAAAATTTAATTTACTTTTCAATTGCAGACAGAATCTTTGAAGCATTAGCAAGAAGAATATCATCAGTTTCTTTTTTTATTCTTTTCATATAAAATATGTGTATATTAAATAGCGGATATCAAAAGAGGTTTTTTTTTTAGTGTAACACTGTAAAAAAATAAATTGTGTGGAATTGTAAAATTGTAACCACATGTATGTTTAAAGTGACTGTTAATTTTGAAATGTTGCGAAATAGTACTGAAAAGGAAAGGGAATTAAGTTTTGTCCCTTACCTTTTAAAATGATCTCCATAGACATTCTTTATTAATATTGAATATTAAGAGGTTAGGTGTTTTTTTGTAATTTATTAGATGTAAAGTTTGTAGACAGATCTTTAAAATTATCATAAATTTACACAAATCAGCATTCATAAAAATCAAATCATTTACATGATTGTAAATTTCATTTAATTTGTTAACATTATGTGTGTGTTTGTGTGTGTTATTCAACTGCTCTGCATAAAATAAGCAATCTGAGTTATGTCCCTTGTTTGCTGCTGTTGGGTCGATTTTGGAGGATGGCCAGTAATAATTTCCACTGTTTGTATGGATAGGCAAATGTAGTTTTAGTTTGTTTTATATAAATCGTGTTTCCATCTCAATCTCCTACTAATCAGTCAGTGAATTGAGTGTACAGAATGAAAAGTACCTATAGCACCACACTCATTAAAGGAGCTATACCTCTATTTTTTGGCACCTTAAAATGGGTTAAAAAGCACATATCAATGTAATATTAGTGTATATAAACTGATATGCATTCAATTATTTATTGTAATTTCTATTCAGTTATGTTTGGCGAAATACACAAACAGTCCAAATTGAAAGGCAGTTGTTGGCAACTGGTTAGTCTAGTCTAGGTGTTTGTAGATCAGCCATTTTTAATTGCTTCCACATTGATATATGGGACATGTTTTGCTTTGTGATTTGTTCATCAAACCTTCTCATTACAAATGGTGCTGGAGATCATAGAGAATCTTGAACCTGGCTTCGGGAACTGTTTTCAACATGGTTTCTTTTTGGGGGGGGGGGGGGCATTAAATATTAGATATCAGGATACCATATTTTCATGGTAACAGCATCAATATTGATTGAAATGGACTGATGTTAAATTCTAATTCATATTTTTAATGTTGAAGATTATGAATATATTGAGTTTAGAGGTTTAGCTCCCTTAAGTCCTGGATTCACTGATCTTAAGAATATTGTAGTACATGTGTTTTAATTTAAAATAGCATAATTAGTATATTTTTTTCTGTGCTTGAAAGGTGACGAGGTTGTAGTGGGTGTGCAAGGAGCTTTGTGTCTATGGCGAAGGACAATCTGTAGAACAATATAATAGGGTGGGTTCACAATCTTTATTACATGAAGTGTTTGAATTTTTATAAAATAAGTTGGAGCTGAAATATTATAAACCCATACTCATCTGTGTTTTAAGTTTGTAAAATGTGTGTGCTTCCATCTTATTAATTTAAATGACTTTTTTCTCACTTTTTATGGGAACCAATACTGTTATCAAATTTTATATAAAAATGAAACCTAAAGGTCTTGTAGTTGTTTGTTAATACAAAACAAGAGTTATCTCCCATGAACAGTTGACTACTAAATAACGTGAAGTGCAATAAAGACATTTCCTTGCAGTTATATCCTTTCGTTTTTATTTCAATCTGTATAAAAGTTTTACACATCTACACTTGATTAGTATTATATTAGCTACATCACAGTAAATGTTATATACAGTTTAACTACAGCATATTAACAATGGTGTATGCATATATCCCTGCCAGGCCTCTAATTTTAGTCTTATTTAGCCAATCTTAACCGACAGCCATTGAAATTGACCGGCTAAAGAATTTTAATCAGTCAGTCAATTTACATACCTTAAACTTATTTATTAATTGAAAAATGGTAAAAATTCTCAAATTCTTTTCAAAAAGTAACTTAGTTATCTGATGATAATGAAAATACCTGTGATATGGACTGGTTGGCTAACTTAGGAACTGGACATTTTATTAACCAAGGGTTTTTTGATAAAAATAATCCCTTTCAGTCTTAAATATTACATAATAGTAATTATATGTACTTAGATCTAGTTTTAGAATTCTAATCTCCATAAAGACTGAAAGATTTATCGCAATTCTTTTAGAAATTTATAGAATTAGTCAATTAATAATTATGCAATTTGATATGACTGAAAGGAAATAAAATCTGAAATAGAAATTAATTTATTTAATTATTGAATTTCAAACTCAAAACAACTTTTGAATCTTGTTAAATGATCAAAAACAAAACATATTTCTAACAATTTACGTTAGGCTAAATAAAAGGGTCTATAAAATAATTCGGACTGTTATAAATACCGACATTTCAGTCTGCCAAAAATCACGGCAGGACCGAGTTATGGGACCTGGGAAATGAGAATAAAAAAAAGTGTTAAGTGTCGACGGTTTAGACTGATTATAAGCTTATCTGATGTTTATCTGTTGGGGTTTTTTTGTGCATTTTTTTTTAAAGTGAATAATACTCTCCGATGTTCTTTATTTGTAATGATCTAGTCTAATTCTTGAATTTATTTCACACCATGAAAAACATGTTGGGCGACATCTGATTTTTTTCCCTTAAATTTAAAAATATTAATTAATAACGAGTCTAGTTTCTTCCCTTCACTTTAAAATTATTAATTAATACTAAGCCTTGATTCTTCCCCTAATGTGTTCGGTTGTTACCGTATTTAAATAAATAAACCCCAGCTAATGCATGAAAACTTAAGCTAAAATATTTTAAGAATGCAAGCATTTCATTGGTTGATAGTTTAAAAATCCTAGTACAAATATCAGCTAGAGCCAATGAAAGAGCAGAATTCTCAACATATTCTCGTTTACGTTTTTGTGAATAGGCCCCGATAATTAATTTTATAGCCTTTAGGAACAAGGCCAAGTACTGTACATGTGTAGCCTATATTATATATATAATAAGCTTATCAATGTAATATTTATTAATAATGTTTATATATATATGTATTTATGTACTCTCCGCAAGCCTTGATGCTATCCCTTTTTGTCTAGTAAGAAAAGGTTTATAATAGCCGATACACTGTGTAAAAATTTTCACTTAACGACATGTTTTTATTCATGCAGCCATGTGATAATTAATATCAATAAAACTTAAACAATGGACAAATCTTGATTGTTGTATTGTGCCGGTTGTCATTGAACCATGCCCGTAGCCTAGCCATGCCCAAAAAAATGTTTTGCGCCCCCCGCCGAAAAAAAAATTGCCGACCATAGCTCTAAAATACCTACTTTAGACTGTGCCGGTGTGCTCCCCCCCCCCCCCCCCCTTAAAAACTTCACTGCCCCTCCGAAGCTAGCAAGCTGGCTACGTGCCTGCATTGAACACGGGAGCCGTGGTGGCTCAGTGAGTAGAGCGCTAGTTCAGTGTGTACAGCGCTGGTTCGTTACGGTCTCGGTTTAGCTCCCGCTGTCGGCCAAGAAACTGTCTCGGCATAACTACAAGGGGTGAACTTTATAAATTGAAAGTCATGGTCACCTCTTCCAGGGAGGCAATGTAGGCCTACCGATGAAAACAACAGCAAGATCATGACAATTAAGCCAGCAATTCAGGGAATGTGTCTGATTAAAGAAATAAAAGAAGGATTTATGTGAAAGCAAAAAAAAAAAAAAAAAATCCAGATGCATATATCTCAGAAACAACAAGTCCTTCCATTCTGTTCTGCCCCCCCCCCCCCCCGGCTTTTTACACAAAATGTTTACAATAAAACTAAACATATATGTCAAGTATAAAAAGATGAGATCGATTTTGATGCTAATCGGATTTAACATTCTGGAGTGATTCCCCCTGTGAAATATGTCCAAAGTTTGTTGATCTTCTGGAGCTCAAAACTGTTGTCAATTCAGATCAAAATTAAAATATATTTTAATGGTCTCGGAAGAGTTGGTTTTGCTGCGCATCGGACCTGCCCCCTTTTCCGAAAACCTTTTGAATCCGATACAGGCTATAGATTTTAACAGGTTTTTTTTTCTAATTTGGTTTGAAGCATCGGGGTTATGAGAGGAAGAATTCTAATTATGATCAGGTTTCCGCGAACGTTCGTTTCAGAGTTATGCCCCCTTAGCGCAAAATTTTGTGAATGCGAATTCAATTGATATTCAACGTTACACAACCTTCCGTTCCGAGGTTACCTCCTTTCCCTAAAACATTCTGTACGCAAAAGCAGCTAAATTTTTTAACATATCTTCTTTTTCAAATTCAATGTTAAGCATTAGGACAATGAAGGGAAGAGCCTTGTCGATTTTTATAATTCTCCGTCAATCTCTTGAAAAATGTGGGGAACGTTAACCGATTAACTGATGGGGGTGGCCGAGAAAAAATCCTAGGGATATTACCCGGTGCGATTTCCCATTGCCAGTCGTTCGGATGGGACGAAAAACCGAGGTCTCGTGTAGGCCTACACATTGACGTGCAGTTAGCTTTGAGCCTTTACATTAAACCTCGCTTCATTTGATTTCGCCTAATTATTAGTTAATAATAACAGAGCATCGTAACGCCACAGTCCCTTCATTTGTGGTCGTGTGACTTACTAAATAATAGATGCTATGTTAAATTTTATTTTTGAATAAAAATTTCTTTGAAGTATCAAAATATATTACTTGGTAACAAATATATTTCTTCAGGTATTTATGCTATGCCAACGATGGTTACGCCACTGTCACTTCGTTAACGTGTAAGTTACTAAATGATGGAAGCTACGTTAATTTTTGATTAAAAAAGCTTTCTTTGACATAATCTCAAACGGCTACTCGGTAACGAAGTATGTTATACCACCAACTCTTACGTATTTAAATTAGACTTGTGACTGTTGCGTTAAGTGTCACTGCACATTACAATTTCGTGTAAAAATTACAAACACTTGTGTTTTATATTATTGCGAAGGATATTGTGGCTTGTCTTTAACTCACGTAAAGACTGGGTTTTGTTCGGGTTTCTAAACTACGTTAAAAAGATGAATTAATTATTGATCTAAGGAAAGCGAAAATTGTGGACACAAAAAAAAAGAACTGGCATCTGACAAAATTTCAATATGCCCGATTTACTTTCTATTTATCTTGTTTTTTATCACTCTATTCCTTTTCCTCGTGGATCATCCCCTGCACGTGTAGTACACGCGCCACAAGTGACAGCGCCCACGTGCCTAACTGTTTTACATTTGTGAGATGCGAACCGCGCGAGGACATTATGCAAATGCTTTTATATTCCAGAGAAACCTAAATACTAGTAAATGCGTTTTACGCACGATGAGCCTCTTTTCTCCAGTTTAAATAGAGAAAAATAATATCTAATAAACGACACGTGACCACCAACCCCCGTTGTGCGCGCCTTTTGTTTTTTTCCGGCTGATTGCTTCCCTTTCCGAGCTTCATTGAGTATTTCCTGATGTGGTCAGGTATTCGGATGTTAAACGTCCATTTTTGACGAGAAATTGGTTAGGCATTTTGTGAATTAATAAAAGCTTCAATTGAACCAATATCCCGCCCTCTAACCTTTCAGTTTTCTTAAGACGACTTGATTATTTTACCTGTCAGGTGGGCACACTTTTAGAATTAATGACACCCCACTTACAGAATCTTTATTAATATTTTTTATTCGTAATTAAAATTCTGTCAATCGTCTTATCAATCAATTCGCGCCTTATTTTCTTGTTTAATACGCAATTCTTATTTGGGGGCGAACGCTGTAAAGACGTTGTTAGCAAACAAGGCATGATATTGCTGCCATGGACAAATGAAAATTGGTCTGTAAAATGATAAGAAGGGTTGCATGCTAAGACATTTAACTCCAGAAGTTATACATACCCCCACCCCTCCCGCCTCCTAAATTAAAAAAACCCAACAACATGGAAGATTCAAGGTAGGATCAATGACATTTGAGAAATATTCGCATAAAAATTTTTAATGGGCCTATTCTCTTGGATTAATCGTAACAATAACGTCATTTTACCTGTGAGGAAATATAATCATCATTATTTAATCTTCGAGCGATAGTTTCCCATGTTATTTCATATACCTTTATTACCACTAAATCTGTCTGACAAGGAACATTGTCTAGTTGTTCGGAAGGAAATAAAACCCATAAAAGTCCCGTGTACACAATGGGGTGCACGTAAAACAAATGAAATCGGGTTGAACGTCCTATTTTTCTGCACCAACCGGGATAATGTACCTGTACGTAAAATAACTCATGACGTATACGTAGCCCCACCGTCTGAGCAAAATTTCACCTATAGCACACTGCATGGCGTATGCCCGGCATTTCCGATCGCGAAATTTTGTGTTCCATATTGGCCTGCAAAATTTGAGGAATCCTACGTAAATGACGTTGTAAGTGAGGATTTCTAAGTAATACACACCGCGAACCAAAATCTCTGCCATTTAGGAGTTGAACATGCAGCAACAAGAGCCGTACTGGACATAAACGTCAGGTTTGGCACGCATGTGTACAGTGCTAGATGCGAGAAAAAATACTTATTTTATGCCGCCCTTGTAATCATCTGTCGACGTCTGAACCAAACTCATTTGTATCTATGAACATCAAGGCCAAGATGATCCTAACCCACGGTTTTTTTTTTGTTCTATATTGCTGTCTAAAGAACACTTTTCAGCCCTTATTTAAAGATGCATTAAATTAAGCTTCAAATGCTATATGACTTATTATTTAGACATACATCTATACACATGCTGAGCCCATAATGAACTCTCAAGAACATCGGATGGCCGAGATATTGAATGGATTAGAATATCACACCAATTACCTATTAATGATCTATAATAACAAGAACAGTCAGCTCTTGATTTCAGTCTTATACATGTATAATGCAGAGAACCCTTTTACAAATTTGTACTCGTACACAAAATAAAGAAAAGGGACATCTTCATTATGATCAGAGCCGTCGGGGGCATCAACCCACCCCACCCCACCACACCCCTTCCCCATCTGTGCAAGGACATTGAGACCATCAATACACTAAACACATTTATGTCCAACAATCTTTATTTCTATAGTCGTTCGGATGGGACGAAAATCCTAGGTTCCGTGTACACATTGAGACCATAAATACACTACAAAACATTTATGTTCAACAATCTTTATTTCTATAGTCGTTCGGATGGGACGAAAAAAACCCCACAGATCCCGTGTACGCATTAAGACCATACATACACTACAATACACTTATGTTCAACAATCTTTATTTCTAAATAACTGAAATATGTTTGCTAGCACTGAACTGTAATACACCCCATATGCATCCCCTGGGGCATCGTGCACCCCGGAACGACGTACCGGCTGCACCCCCGCCCCCTCCCTGGGTCTGAGTATCACTGCGCGGACAGTCTCCATCACATGGGTTCCAAAAGCCAGACAAATATCGTTTCTCAGTTCGTTTGCGATATAACCCTAGGTGGAATCGGACGTTAAGCCCCACTGACTGACTAACTGTTTCTCAGAAATTATCCACACATCCATTCTATAATACAGGTATTTTCAAATTGTCTATCTATTGAAAGAAAATAGCAGCTCATACATGTATCTCTGGTGTCAATTTTAGCCGTGTTGGCCTTACATTTGTACCCATTCTTGTATAGAATTTGGTTTATTTTGAATAGAGAGTGACTAAAACGAAATAATTAATTTGAATGATACAGATCGTCTGATTAAAGCAAGAACAATAGTCACAGAATCACATAAGATTGGAAATAAAACGTTAAATATCTGGTATATCTGAGGACGGGTCGTAAGTGAGGGCAATAGGCGTTTCTATTAAATCTGGAGCGCCACAGAAATGAAATGAAATGAAATGGGGTTTAACGTCCTGCTGCTCTGCTCCAAACTATGAAGACGGGCATACGCCAGTGTGCTATGAAGGAAATTTTGCCCGGACAGCGGCACTACGGCCTACTCGTTTATCGAATTCCAACTGTCAAGGGATCTTTTACGTGCACGGGACCTCGGTTTTTCGTCCCATCCGAACGACTAGACAGCTGTCCTTGTCAGGTCCTCCGTCCTGCATCACTGACAAGGTGGAACCACGCCGTAAAATCTGGATGAACTTTCTCGGCCAATGCAGGGATCGAACATCCGACCTCCAGGCTAGCGAG